CCTATGGTAGGGCAGGGTACGATTCTAATTGGACGGAGCTCTGTCTAGCTGCCTAAGGGCTAGTGATTACAGAGGTGGCTTCGGGGATGTGATGTGGTAAAAGTTGTGCAAGTGCACGGAAAAGGGTTCCAGGGGTCCGGGTCTTGATGCGATAGAATTTGGTAGGGTTAGGAGTTAGGGTGAGAGTCGGATGTGTGTATTGGGTGGATCGTCGTGTGGAGATGGGTGATGGTTGGAGTGGAAGTGACGAGGATCGTCATAGGGCAGTTGGTGGAGACTCGAGCTAATGTCAGCAACCTACAATCCAACTGGACTGGGCTACGACAAGGCTGAGGAGACAGATGAGAGGAAAGTGGGTGAGTAAAGACCAGCTCGAGTCTGGCTTGTTATTGAGCAGTACGAGCTTCTTATATACATGTCAGACTGAATATCTAGAATATCCTACAAGTATACGGAGGTATATAGAAAGTGAAAGAATACTATGGAATCTGGGAGAACCATCCGGAGTATGTAATATTCATGACATGAATCTTCTTAGGCTGTATGACCATTTCAGATCATGGATTACGAGATGTGCCAGTTGCATACATCATGTCTTGACACAGCACTTCTATCTGCAATACGCTCACTTCCGACAAGTATAAGACCCAGAGCTGTGGAATATTAACAGACTCAGACCGCTCTTGCTCACTGGCACGCCTTTTTGCCCAGAGTCTGAATCGAGGATCCATCCAACCGTCTTGGTTTTCGCAACATGTAAGATCAAAGGGCAAAATATTTACCGTGGCTGTGAACAGCACTCTACAAGTTAGAAAGTTCAAACTTGAACTTCGGCCTGTGCATTTCGATGACAAGGGTCGGGATCGGGGTTCAGGCTATCATGTAAAGTGAAGAAATAGTAAATCTCCTGTCGGGATGATGTCTTCGAAGAATAACATAATAAATTTGCCTTATAACTTTACAAGCAATATGTTCAACCTAGGGAGATATTCTTGTTCTATTATACGTAAGTAGTGCCAGCGTAACGACAAGCGTCGAAGCTAGGGTTTATCAGACGCGCGCTCGGTCTTAACTTAAAAGCCGGTCACTGCCTCGAACATGATGCATGGATGTTTGTTCTCCATGCCTGATCTATACGCGGGGATCGAATACTGCTTATACCTAGACATACTCGATACTACGGCCCGGGCGCGCAGGCGGCCAAGGACCGCGTGTTCATTGCATCCTTAGGACCTCGCCACCAGCCACGTTGCAAGCATGAGGCACCCAAGCACGCCGCTATAACATGGATTGTACCAGCCTGAGTAGACCTGTAGAGGACGTATAGCTCCTGGTGAGTGTCATGCTGTCGCAACAAACTCACCGTTGACCACTCCCTCCCCCAGATACGGCCCGAGAGCGATGACACAAATAGTAAACAACGAAGGTCACTTCGCTCCTCGCGAAGTTAGCGTATGGCGCCAAGAACGAGAGACAGTCGCGGACTTCCACTGCAGAACGTGCCGCGGTCGATTCATGAGCCGGGAGATGGTAACGCTGCATACTCAGATGGAGCACCCGACTGTGTTTACAAGCTACTGCGATGCTCAGGTACGTGGTCAACAAATTTTCATTTGAAGCGCACTTTCATAAATTTTGGCCTTCTAGTCCCAAATCGAATTTCTCGTTGAACCCGTACGAAGCCCTGAATCATGGTGTATCTATAAGGTATGCACCGACTCTAATTTTCTAGATGAAAGGGATCACGAGTGAATCATGCAGCGAACCGCAGCACTTGTCGCGAATGACATTTCCAGTTTGTCAAAGCGGAACGAACGCTTGGACATGGTTCGCTCTGCGTATGTCATGAGTTGAATGAACCAGCGTCGGTAACAGCTACCCACACCCCCACAGATACGACTCGCTTCTAGATCTGGAGCGACTATGTAGATCTGCCTCAGGCCGTGTTGCTCTGTTAACCGGTGCGATGCCACAGCGCGCAAGGCTAGTGGAGGTAAGTGTCCATTCGCTCAGGGTGAACGCCGCTGAATGGTAACCCAGCTCTCTTCTGGGCTGTTATGCCGTCAAGGCCCCCTGTGGGAGGCCCTCAAAATCGACGATCGCTCTATCTTCTTAATGCTTCAAATAGCCGTGTCCCACGATGAAGATGTGATCATGGGATTACGCGAGGACAGTGCGGCTTCCTTCCTGACTCTCATTGATTCGGTACGCGTCATTCTCGGGAACGTTCTGCCTGTATTCTCACTCTCATCCACGGCAGGTCTTGTACTCTGGTGAACATGGGCATGACCTCTGGTTATCCCATCAGCCAGCTCTCACGCTGGACACGGAAGGTTTCAGATATAATCTGCGGCGCATCAGCATCAGACTGTCCATGGTCTCATACCAGCTCCCGAAGGGCTTGTACATCACAGGCGTCACCCTGGCGGACCTGGAACAAGTCGCTGCCAGAGGGTACACCAACATTCGTGCCGGTCGATATCACGGGCGCCTGGTAGCATTGAAGACGATGCGAGTTTCCAGTCGGCAGAAACTCGATGAACTATCCAAGAATCAGAAGGTAGTGGAGCGATTAAATTTGTCGCCCATTGCTCATTTACCGCTCCAGGCATTTTGTCGCGAAATCCTGCTGCTGCACGGCCTCAACCATCCAAACATATCCGGACTTATAGGCGTCGACCGCGAACTCTTTGGACACTTCTGCCTGGTGACCGAGTGGATGCCATATGGAAATATTATGGAGTTTATTGCGACCAACTCCTTTGTCCTCGGCGAGGTTAAGCGATTCGTGAGTGTGTCAATATCTGTCTTAAGAGGCACAGTAGTTAATCCAGGTGCAGGTAATAGAGATAGCCTCCGCTCTGGCATACCTGCACGGTGAAAATGTGGCACACGGAAATTTGCACGTGGTGCGTCGACATCCCTTCCGTCCGCGAAGTCCTCATAAATGCCGCCCTAGGGAAATATTCTCATCGACGCCGGTCGGCATGTTCGCTTGACAGATTTCGGTCTATCGGATTCTTGTGATGCATCTTCTGCTAACGCTAGCTCTGCTTCCACCGGCGCGATCCGGTATATGGCACCAGAGATCTTGCATCCAGAGAAATACGGTCTACGATATGTCCGCCACACCCCCGAAAGCGATGTCCATTCGTTCGCAATGTGTGTATGGGCGGTAAGACTTGTTATATCCCAAGCGGATCCACGGCTAATTGTCCTCATACCAGGCTTTCAACGGCGACTCACCCTTTCACGATTTTCCGGCGGTCGTAGCTTCATTATCGATCATCAGCGGCAAGCGGCCTCCCGTACACACAGCTAGTCACGACCTTCCATCACCGCTGTGGTCCTTGTTAACCCTCTGCTGGCAAGAGAGGGCGGTAAATAGACCTAGCTCACACGAAGTCTACCATAGGCTCAAGCAAATGTTCCGGCCTTCCGCCCCGTCGAATACCCACTCGACAACGCCAGCTGTCAGCAAAGTGAAATCGGCTGGGCTCTCGCGTCCTTACGGCGAGACGGACAGCTCCGGAAACGAGTTGACTTCCAGTAGCGAACCAGAGAATGTCGGCTGCAAGCCCACCACACAGCAGTTTGTCAGGCAATGCCGCGTCGTACAACCTGCCGGAGACACGCCCATCATCGCGGGACCTCCGCCTCCAACAATGATATGGGGCCTCACTGCGCGGCCTGGTATTGATCCGCCGGTAAACATCGCCGCGCCACAGACGGTGCGACACCTGGCAAGTAGGCATCCGGATGCGGAGAGGCTGGTCCCGCAAACTGTCTACCGACCTTCGTCGGCTGTGCAGCTGCGCGCGGGACACGCTTCGCAGGCGACGCCCATATCGCCCATCATGTTCTATATCCACGGTCCGCGGGGTTGCGGAATCAGTTGCAACGACGCGCTCAATGGAAGATTCGCGGGGTTGCAGGATCCAGACGCTCTCGTTGAGTGTCCAAGGTCCATGATGCTGAGAGTCATGGTGCGTGTGTATCCAAGTTCGCACCCGTGTCGAGCTTGGCGCTGACGAGAGCACGACGCGCCTAGTGGCCTGATTACGAACCCTGGTCGGCCACTATCCTCCTTCACCCCGGAACGTCTCGAGCAGACTTAGCGATGTGCGTCAGCCTTCACGCGCAAAGGTTCCTCGACGTATGTCCTTCTCCGATGTTTTGAGCCTCGCGCGCGTCTCAACACGATCTGCAGGAGTCACTGACGAAGTGTCTGAGAGATGATACGCGCTGGAGGCTGGGGCCCGGTGCCATCACACTTTCTGACCTCGAGCTGGTCGGTCTGCAGCCCGTGACTGCACGAGATTGGCAGGTCCACTTCCGGGTGCGTCAGGCGACGCTTCAAGCAGTCTAAGTTGCATGGTCCATTGTTCGGGATCCCCCAAACCCCAGTTTCCGGGTCAGTTTTGCGTATACCTCCGTAGCATACTTCATCTCGTGGGTGTAGAATGGGACGCACCCTGCCCTTATCGTTGTCCATCCTATTATCCGTGCTGCGCTATGCGTGCTGAACACGTTCCCATGGTCGGCATGATGGGGCTGGATATTGAAGATGACACTGCCGCCTTTGTTCGGTTGATGGATGGTCAATTCCTAGACACGAGAGAAATTTGGAACTTTTTTGTTACAAAAAAATGCGAAAACAGCCTGAAAAAATAAGTAAGAAAATGCCATATTTTTCCTCCCGGTATCCGGCGGCCCGGCGACTCGGCAACCCGGCAGCTGAGCCGATTGTCCGCCAGGCCATTGTCAAAGCGCCCGTGGCTGCGGCACCCGGCGGACA